GTGGATTTACCGGTAAGCTCCTGGGGTGGGGCCTTGTTTCTCTCTGCAGAGGGGGGCCCGCCGCAGGGCCAGGTGTGACGGGGAACAGTGGCCCTGGGAGGCGCTGAGAAGGGTAAGAGGCGACTCCACCACACACAGTGGCCCGTCTCTGGGCCCGCGTGCCCCAGGCACTGTGGCGAGCAGTCTTCTTCCCAGGACAGCAGTGGAAGGGGAGGAGCCCAGGACGGGGCCCAGGACGGGCAGACAGAAGGCACCTTGGCAGTGAGAATGAGGACCTCACCAAACAGCGCAGCAGCAAGGAACTCGCTCAGCAGAAATCATCTCAAAGGGCTTATGTATTGAAGTCCCCTAATCACCGTGTCAAATGCGAACTGAGAAAGGCATAAAGGACACCTTCAGCGCCAGTAGACCAACTGTTTCTCCTACAGACAAAACTCCCGCCCCCCACCCCCAGCTTCTCCAGGGGTGGAGGGCAGTAGGAAGCCCCGATACGGAGCATTTGCCAATTTCTACGGTGTAAATACTCCCAGCATTGAACAGAGTTGGGAAGAGATGCATAGAATCCCACTACACAGTATTTCCACCATACAGATTCTACATACATCAGTAACCCCAAAAGCATAAACTATAGCAATCCTTTGCTTTTTATATAACTGGTAAGTTCACACATTCAATCTTCAATAGTTGTGCAGAACAGCCAGCTCACAAAATCCCTGAAAACTAACGATGGGCTCTTGCTACCTGGGCCGGCGGAAACCAAAGCCAGCGTCCCAGACCTCCCCCCAGGCCAAGGAAGATGGCAAAGCCGGTCCTTGCAGAGAGGATGGTCTTGCTTGCCGGTACCAGGCAACTCCAAGACAATTTGCACTACCTTCCCAGCAAGGTGTGCTCTTGGCTTTTTTTCTCTCAATTCAGCAGCGGTTACAAGTTTGGCATCAGGCTCATATTCTCTACGACCTTCCTGAAGAACCGCTGGCTGGCTGTGGTCATAGCTAGGAGGTGGCGGGAGCCAGCAACCCAAGCAGGGAGCACCTGTTCTGGGGGGAGGGGGTGTAGGTCAGCCCCAGGCCTCTGGTGGGAATTTAGTCTGTCGTGGGGGCCATGTGCACAGGTGTGTGATGAGCCTTTCTAGGAGCTCTGCCCAGAGACCATAGCAATCACTCTGCCTCCTGGGTTCAGGTTTATTATTTCGTTGTTGCTTTTCTCGTGCTCTTGTTTAGTTCTATTGAAAATAACTACAGAAAAGTGCACACATTTTTAAATATACCGCTGCATGAATTTTCCAAATGATCTATTCGGGGAAGCGTCACTCAGCTGAAGAGACCCATTTCCAGAGGTGGACACCCTCGTGCCCCTTCCCCGTCAGCAGCCTCGCCTCAGAGGTAACCGTGACTCTGACCTCCCCTGCTTTGCTTTCTTGTTCTTGAAATTCACATATATGGAATTCTATTCTGGCTGCTTTTGCTCAGTATTCTGTTTGTGCAGGTCAGTGTTGTTGTGTTTAGTGATAGTTCCTTCCTTTCGTTTCTGAGATGTAATCCATCACATACATGTACCGCAATTTGTCCATTTGGGGTTGTTTCTTGTTTGAGGCTATTAGGAACAAAGCTCATATAAAATTACTTGTACTATTGCATGCATTTCTGTTAAATGTATGTGAGGGAGTGGGATTGTGTCAAAGGGTACCAGAGCGTTAGCTTTAGTAAATACTGTTATCGTGGGCGCACCAGTTTACACTCCCAACTGCGGTGTACGAGAGTTCCAGTCACTCCTCATCTTCACTAACACTTGGTCGTGTCAGTCCTCTTTATTTTACCCATCCTGCAGGTATCTAGCAGTATCTCATTCTGGTTTTTACATTTCCCTGATGATGGGTATTGAATAAATTTGGCTATTAAAATGCTTATTAACTATCTGGATATTTGTGAAGTGGCCATATTATTTGCTCATTTCTAAATATATTGTCTTTTTATTGATATGCAACACTTACATGTTCTGGGTCCTTTGTTGGATTTCTTTTTCCACTTCCTGGCTTGATTTCTCTCTCAAGGGTAATCTGATAATGAGTTAATTGTAATGACATTCAATTTCTCTTATTTCTACCCTTATGGAGTTTTTTGTGTCCTAATAAATCTTTGCCTATTCCAAGGCCAGTAAGATTGTCTGTTTTCTTCAGAAGCTTTATTATTTTACTTTCCATACTTAGGACCATGATCCATTTGGAGTTCATGTTTACGTATGGTGTGAGGTCAAGGTTCACTTTTTTCCATATGTACATCCAAAATTACTTTTTCTGATTATTGATGGTTGTCTCATTAGGATTTTGCAGTTCCCAAGTGTTAATTCTTGCATTTTTGCTAAATATTTTCTTTTTTTTCCCCTTTTCTTTCACTTTTTAGAGAGTGTGCACACGTGTGTGAGCAGGGGGAGGGGCCGTCAAAGGGAGAGGGAGAATCTTAAGCTGTCTCCATGCCCAGTGTGGAGCCTGCTGGGGGCTCGATCTCATGACCCTGAGATCATGACCTGAGCTGAAATCAAGAGTCAGACACTTAGGGCGCCTGGGTGGCTCAGATGGTTAAGCGTCTGCCTTCGGCTCAGGTCATGGTCCCGGAGTCCTGGGATCGAGTCCCGCATCGGGCTCCCCGCTCTGCGGGGAGTCTGCTTCTCCCTCTGCCTCTCTCTCTCTCTCTCTCATGAATAAATAAATAAAATCTTTAAAAAAAAAAAAAGTCACTTAACTGACTGAGCCCCTAGGTGCCCCCCTTTTCTTTCACTCTTGAAGGGGAAATAGGGAGAGACAGTATCACCTGGAGGCAATGAGAAAGTGAATGAGCACAGTTCTCACCCCAAACCAGGAAGTCAGGATCACACACCATCTCCACTAGAATTAACCTTGCTTGGACCCCTCCCATGCTCCAGTACAAATACCCCAAGTGAGCCAACCATAGAGCTCTGGTCCTCAACCTCAACGGACCAGAAAGGCTGCCTCAAGACTGCTCATCCAGGTAATCTGTGGTGAAACCCAGAGGTTAAATTATCCTTTGCTGTATCATCATGATGTCCACAGTCATATTAGGGAGATTTCAGGAACAAAGCTGTATTTTTCAAATGACTTTGAGGTGAATTGATTTCTTCTGTTCACTTGATGACATTCCACAGTCTGGGCTACATTGAGGAATTCTACTTCCTAATCTAACAAAGCCCTTCTTATATAGGACCAGCAAACTCTCCCTGTGCAATTTCCAGGCCCTAATCTTTTTTTTTAAAGATTTTATTTATTTGAAAGAGAGAGAACACAAGCCGGGGGGCGGGAGAGAAAGGGGCAGAGGGAGAGGGAGAAGCAGGGAGCCTGACATGGGGCTTGATCCCAGAACCCTGGGACGATGACCTGAGCCGAAGGCAGACACTTAACTGAATGAGCCACCCAGATGCCCCTCCAGGCCCCAATCTTAGGAACAGTTACTAGCTTCCTTTTATCAAGGATTTATGTTAGGCACTATGCTAAATACTTTATGAGATTATTAATATTACTATTAATCTATATACCTACTTCTTCAGAACCTTTCTTACCATCAGGAATCACACCATATATTGTCTATTCAGCTGGAAAACAAATTTCAGCGTCCTGGTTTCTTGTTCACTGCTGTATCAAAACATCTAGCCCAGGGGCGCCTGGGTGGCTCAGATGGTTAAGCGTCTGCCTTCGGCTCAGGTCATGATCCCAGGGTCCTGGGATCGAGCCCCACGTCTGGCTCCTGGCTCGGTGGGGAGCCTGCTTCTCCCTCTCCTCTGCCTCTCCCCCTGCTCATGCTGTGTCTCAGATGAATAAAATCTTTAAAAAAAAGTCTAGCCCAGTGCCTAGCACATAGTATGTGCTCAATCCACATTCATTTTCACCGGTTTCCAGGCCTTGCCCATCCCTTCCTTCCCAGGAAAGCACTTAAGGTATATGGCCACATGAAGGCAGACAGCCCCTCTCAGATCCTTGGCAGAGTGAAGAGGAGAAAATAAAAAAGGGATTAGACATGGCTGATGATCAACTGTTTTTACAATTGTTCTTTTAATATAGTTCGATTAAAGTTTAGAACACCTAAATGTACTTCCTGTTTCTTTCACGAAGGACCATACTGGAGATGTTTTTGGTCCTCGTTCTGACAGACTTTACTGTCTGCTTCTTATCGGTCTCATCACTACGTACCTCTTGTGGCAGGAGGACTTCCCACCTTTGCTACCGTCTCTTCTGCCAGCGTCTTTTAATCTGTGTCTTCAGCGAGGGTCAACGGACTTACAGTTTCATTGCTTCAGCGCCGTGGTGTCAGCCCTGCCCACATGCCTCCACTATACAGTCTTAGGAATTACCTTAAAAATGTATTAACCTTGTGCGTTGCTAGGGCACGATTTCAATTTTCTATTCAATTTCCCATTATTTTAGCATAGATTAAGCTGCTCTGCAGAGAAAACAATTTAAACTCTTAGGAATAGTCATTGTTTTAAGTTATATGTTATTTTGAATTAAATGCTATCAGATTAAAAACACAGACTGATAATACTCGCTTTCTTCTATCATCTCTTAGTGCTCACCAGAAGATTCTCCAAAAGAGAAACCCTACTGCGTGGCCTCAGTTGTCCATGAATCCACAAGTGCCTCAAAGGAAAATGGATACTGAGGAATGTAATTTGATTACCTTCAACATTCTTATATGTGTTCACATAAAATATCTTACATTAGCTAGAACAGTAAACTATCATCTGTGTATAAACTTTCTATTCACAAATTAAATAGCCAATCACGTGAACTTGAGTTTAGCAACCTTTATTTAGGCACAGAGGCATGTTTTGATCCAGGCTCTAAAATTTTCTAAGATCCTTGGTTACACTCTTTGGATGTATCATGGCTCTTCTTTTCCAAATGAAGATAATGTATGTGTCCTGAATTTTCTAGTAGAATCCTTTTTAAAAAATACTTGAGAAAAATGGACAAGCATGACAGTAAACTGGTATTATTTTAGAACGCTCTTTATTTTGAAACTTACACCGGACATGTATAAGGCATGTTCACAATATTTGTTTGATGTACAAAACACATTTTCTCACTCTCCAGTTGCTCTTCTTTTCCTTTATACCTGCTGCTACAAACTGGTCCCTACATATCTTCCTATCTACAGTTCTCAGTTATTGTGAACATGTAGACAGTGTTTCAGGGACCTGCAAGGAGAATCTGCCTCAAAATACAGAGTGAGCATCTATGGACTAAGTCACGAAGACATAAAAACTCACAAGGAACCAAGGCTGAGGAAGATGACCAAATTAGCTCACGAACTTGGGACTGTGAGCTTCCAGGGGAACAAAGAACACAAAGAAAAACATTTTTTTGATGTCTGAGAGAAATGGAATGTGTCCAGAATTCATGTTTCTATATTTACGACTGTCTACAAGTCACTAAAGAGATCTAATATTTTAACAGATTCTAATGCAGTTAAAGTTTTGTTCTCACACCACAGTACAAGAGTGCATGCATTACTTCACACAGATGTCAAACATGGAACAAGTGAAACAGGGGCACCTCAGGATTGTCTAATTACACAAGTGCCTCTTTCTTTGGTGGGATAAGGGAGGGAAATGACGGTGACTGTTTCCCTATGGCACCTACTATGTGTTAGACAGAGATACCCAAACATTTGTCATCTGACTCATGAAGAAGGACAAATGGGGCTAGTAAGAGTAAGATATTCAAAGAACAAGTTCCAAATGTAGCATGGGGGTGATGAATATTTAGCCTCAATTTTCAGGGCAAAAAAAAGTCTTGGCTGATACTAATAAGAAAGTATTTGTAATTGATTTTCAAAAATCAGATTATATCTTTTAGGTGATGAAAAATAAGCTCTTTTATAAACAGCCATTTATTCTACTGGGGGGAATAAAACAATGAAATGAAAAAGCAAAATCACATGGTGTTTCATGAAAAGGAGATTTAAATCTTTTGGTTTAAATCAGCCAGTATGTTACCATTTACTACAGATTATTAAAATGTGTTTGCTTAAGCCCATTTAAATGCAGAATCTTTGAGGAAAAATGTAGGCATGTTATAAGGAATATTGACTTGTAAAAATTTTAACCTGGGGCACTTTAATAGGTCAGAATACTTTAAATTCAAGTACTGCTTTGAGGTGCTCGTAACACTTCCCAAAAGAAGCCTTCCATCTCAGAGAGCACCTCTGTAAGAAGCCCCAACAATTTAGGAATGTGGCTACACATAATTTTATTAGCCACTATTTGCTATTATCGAAGTGTTTAATAAGAGCAGGGAAATTACTATCAACTGTATTAAAGATTTCCATTTATTAGCACTGTGACACACAGTGCAAAGAATCTCAAATGTTTGCTTTTTATACCAGAAGTAATATACTGTTACTCTTCCAATTCAACAAACCAGTAAATTACTCTTCAGTGAACTGTGACTACCTAGAAAAGCAGGCTGACCTCTTCCAGAAGGTGCCGGCTGTTCTTCTTACAGGAGATCCTGATCAAGGCAGGCTGGGCAAGTGCTCTGCCCTTTCAGCCACTGCTTAAAGCACTGAAAATGAGAAAATGAAATCAGTGTCTTCAGGAACATGTGGGGCCTTAGCTCTCCTGTGCTGCTCCTCAACAGACATGGTTAAGTTCACCTCCAAGTCTGGTGGCGCCCGGAGCTGCCCAACACTCAGGAACACTGAAGCCTACTCAAGCGAGGAGTGTGCCCCAAGCCCTAGGAACAAATCATTTGCCTCAGAATCTGACCCATGGACTCTGGGCCTCTGACCTAATCTCAGGGGGATGGCCTTGCCCCTCCACTTTCCCTACACTCCGGCTTCATTCTTGGCATTTCATTCCAGGGATCGGCATTTTCTTGGTCCTGGGACTCACCCAATTTTTAACTGATCCTCTCTCTGCCTGGTCTTGATTCTTGTACATCCCACCAGCCTCCACACCACAGCCTTGACTGGAACCTGTCTACCATCGTGGTCCCAAGTTGCTTGTGGCTGCCTGTTGCTGCTAAGAGCTGCGTGTGTGTGTTAAGTCTGAGAGCCCAGGCACAACACCCTATACCTGCAGGAGACAGGCCATGCAAGAGACTGCAAGCTGTCTTGACTCCTCCTACTAAGTGTATTGTATCTATCCCTTTTTCCAAGGGATTAATAAACTGACATGGCAGAGACCTGATCTATTCTAACCAGAAGGAGGGATACAGAATGAATGCCCACAGCACCCAAAATATTTACCCAAAGATCTTGGAAGGGTACAAGCCAGAATCTCCCAGGATCAGGCACAATGGGCCCAGTTAGGTTTAGCTTTTCTCCTCTAAAGTGTTAAACTTACTTCATATACTGCACTAAATTGACAAAATGCTGCACTGTGCATCTATTCAGCCATGTGTGTAAGAAATTACCTTTTAAGAAACAAATACTGTTTTGAATTTCAGCACCAACATATTTGAGGGAGCCGACTAGGACTGTTCTCCTCCACCCATGATGTGATGGGTGGAAAGGACAGTGCGCAAAACTGCACACCCTAGACCCCAGGAGGCCTCTCCCCCTTTCCACAGCAGCAATCTTTGGAAAGGGAGACAACGAACACCGGCACAAGGAGGCTTATACAGAAAATGCTCTGAAAACTCAAGTACTGACACCTATGAAAAAAAGTCCCTTTTTGGGGCACCTGGGTGGCTCAGTCGTTAAGTGTCTGCCTTCGGCTCGGGTCACGATCCCAGGGTCCTGGGATTGAGCCCCGCATCGGGCTCCTTGCTCAGCGGGGCGTCTGCTTCTCCCTCTCTCTGCCGCTACCCCCACCTGTGCTCTCTCTCTCTGACAAATAAATAAATAAATAAAATCTATAAAAAAGGGGGGCGCCTGGGTGGCTCAGTCGTTAAGTGTCTGCCTTCGGCTCAGGTCATGATCCCAGGGTCCTGGGCTCGAGCCCCGCATCAGGCTCCCTGCTCCGCAGGAAGCCTGCTTCTCCCTCTCCCGCTCCCCCTGTTTGTGTTCCCTCTCTCGCTGTGCCTCTCTCTGTCAAATAAATAAGATCTTAAAAGAAAAGGCCCCTTTTTATTTTCAAAATACTTAATAGTCAAAATTCATGATATGAGGATGGCTGAAGAGAATTCTTACCCCTTTGTGAAACCTGTGCCCACATTTTAGCACACGCACATTTTTGGATTTGAATACCTCACGGCATAGTTCACAGGAAGCTGCACCGGATGCCTGTGGAAACAAACGTATCCCCGTAATGAAGAATAGCTAAATTCCTTTTTACTACACAAGCTCTTCCTACAAGTGGCCTTTATACACTTTCGTCATTAAGGTGGCAAATTACTCCCAATTATAGCTAAGCAGGCTGAGGGAACGACTTAGTTTTTAACAGCATTTCTTAAGAAAAATTACAAACATACAAAATAAAAAAATATACCTTTAAAGTTCCAATTTTCTCACAGAAAAAAATGTTTTATATGGCTAATAAGTTCCCAGGAAATTATTACAAATTTCTAATTATCCCACCCCACACCCAAACCACGGTATGAATATTATAAATTAATCATTCATCTATTTATCTAACAGTTGGGGACAGAAACATAAATTATGACACATCCACACTATGGACTATTACGGGGTTAACTGAAATCATGATGGAAGTCCACAATCCCTGACACACAAAGCTGGTGACGACAATCCTCTGAATAAAAAGGTTACAAAGGTTACAGGTTACAAAACAGTATATATCATATAGCCACATAATTGATTTTTTTGAAATAAAGATAACGGGTGTAGAGAGAGATACCTTGTAAAGAGCCTGGAAAGATATAGAATGTGAACAGCAGTTACTTTCAGTTAAGAGATTTAACTTTTTTCTTTGCTATTTTCTAAAGTTTCTATGAATGTGGATTACGTGTGCAAATCAAAACAAAACAAACTGATGGCTCATTCAGCAAACATCCGTGGTCAGGGATTGTGCGGGGCGCGAGGGCACAGAGCTGAATGGGAGAGTTTCTGGCTCGAGCAGCACACAGTCTGGTGAGCACAGACAGCATTTTCTGTGAAAGCAGAGTTGGAGTGCCACCCAGGACACCATGCACAAGCTCCCCCCACAAATCACAGCACCTACCCACGCTGCACCATTATTTTCCACTCCTCCTCCCCTCCAAACTCTGAGCACCCTGAAGGCAAGGAAGGAGCCCTGTTCATCTATATCCTTAGCAAATGGCAAAGAACCTGGCCCCAGAATGATTCTCCATAAACTGTCAGGCGAGTGAATGAGAGCAGCCCTGGCCATGGGATTAAGGTCAGGGATGCAGATGGGGACAGTGCCTAAAGGCTCTGAAGACCCTGAACTGCTGAATGGGGTTTTCTTTTTCTCCCCTAGCATTGATGGGGTAGATATAGTAGAATGAGGGGCTCTAGCTCCACTCTGTGGCCCGATGGGAGGGTCAGGGAGCAATGGAAGTGTCAGTCCCAGGGAAGGGCAGATTAAGACCTCTGTAAAGCTCAGAGCTAGGTCTGGCTTGAAAAACCCAGTTAACTTGATTTATTTTTATTAGCATGAAAAGATGGGCACATACATTTCTAAGTGAAAAAAAAAGACACAAAAAGTATTTATAGTTTTGACTAAATTCATATATACACACACATACAAAAGAGGTTAGAAAAACACATACCAATATCATAATACTGGTTACCTTAGGGGGTGGGTTTTGGGGTTCTTTAAAGGCTTTTTATTTGTATTTCCTACCATGAACACATACTGCTTTTGTAATTTGAAAAGATAAAGCAAACTACTTTTAATTTTTAAAAAAACTACCTATAATTATCAAACTAAGTCCCAGTTTGAATACATATTTTTCTTGTAAGTCAGCTTTTACAACTTTATCATCATCAACAACAACCATGAAGCAGAAAGTAATCTCTCCCCTGAAGGTGACTGCATTCTATGTGTGTGTTGGGGGGGGGGTGGTGGCAGGTGTCGGTGAGGATGCTCTGAGAATTCAGCCTGGTTGGAGGACCACCCAGCACCTGGCCAGTCAGCAGCCTGGGGAGAGGGAGGCACTCCAGCCAGGTCTTGCAGGAAAGCTCTGCGTGCTCATAAGCTCTCTCATTGGAGTTAGATGCTCTGGGAAATGAGTATATATGGTTTGGAAAATAGCCAAAGAACAGTGGAAAATGAAAATATACAGGAGGAATACAAACATTAAGTTCACACAAAGATTCACTGCGTAGTTCAAGTCAGCAAACAAGTACTCTGTGCAATCATGCATCGCTGACTCCACTATGGGGCCAGAAACTCTTCTAATTTTCATTTCATCTAAACTCTGATACCGGGGTGCCTGGGTGGCTCAGTCGGTTAAGCATCTGCCTTTGGCTCAGGTCATGATCGAGTCCTGCACCGGACTCCCTGCTAAGCAGGGAGTCTGCTTCTCCCCCTCACTCTGCTCCTCCCCCAGCCTTGTGCTTGCTCGCTCTCTCTCTCAAATAAATAAATAAAACCTTTAAAAAAATAAACTCTGATATCACAGTTGGACAAAAGGGAAGAACATGCTTTATACCAGAACTCAATCCCACAGCCCTGAATGGCCTCTTTCAACCACGTTTGGTTCCTACTACACAGTCCCTAGCATCGGCTGGCTCCATGTGGTGAGGATTAGGGAATTACATGCTACACACCCAGATCAAATGAGGAATGCTGGCAAGCTGCATGAATCATCTGTGCCTCGGTTTCTTCATTATAAAATAAAGACAATTACAGTACCTTATCAATTGAGATCATAGATACCACAGTATTTTATAAAAAGATCTATGTAAACGTAACATTCTTATTGTCCAAAAGAACAAAAAACATTTTAAATCCGTTTATCAAATTAAGGCAAGTTTAGCCCATAAGATCAAGTGTCCAGTGTCCCCCCAACCCCCTCCAGGCACTCAAGGGGAGGGAGAGGGGAAGCAACCAGACTTGCGTGAATACAGAGCTTGACCCTGGTCATTCTATTCTAGCACTTCATCCAGACAACAGCCTGAACAAGCAGATATGATATTAGCTCACAGTGTTACTAAGTGACAGAACCAAGTCTGGGATTCCAAAGCCCATGGTGGCATGGAATAAAATGATTCAAAAATCATTTTCCCCAACTATTCAAATTATCACACTTACTATAAAAAATTAACTTGTATTTGACTGCCAGTAGGCCCAGTTCCCAAAATGTGGCCAGAGCTCTCCTGGTCTCTCTAGTGCAGGGGCTTCTCCCAACAGGGACCCATAGGTACCCACAAAAGCAGAGATGTTCTAATGGAACACTTAAGTACATCTAAATTTGGTCTCTAATATTCTTTAAAAATTTATTTATTTGAGAAAGAGAGTGTGCACACGAGTAAGGGAGGGGGAGAGGGAGAGAGAGAATCTCAAGCAGACTCCCTGCTGAGAGCAGAGCCTGTCAAGGGGCTTGATGTCACCACCCTGAGATCATGACCTGAGCCGAAATCAAGAGTCCATGCTTAAGTGACTAAGCCACCCAAGCACCTCTAATTTTTTTTTTTAAAGTAGGCTCCATGCCCAACATGGGGCTCAAACTCACAACCCCAAGATCAAGAGTTGCACACTCTACCAACTGAGCCAGCCAGGGGCCCCTGGTTTCTAATTTTAAGATCAAACAAATTAGGTCTAGAAATGAAAAGAATGGGGCTAAATCATGGATTAACTATTTTGTCTCCTTCTTGTTCTTCATTAAAAAAACAAAACTGAGGGGCGCCTGGGTGGCTCAGTCGTTAAGCGTCTGCCTTCGGCTCAGGTCATGATCCCAGGGTCCTGGGATCGAGCCCCGCCATCGGGCTCCCTGCTTGGCGGGAAGCCTGCTTCTCCCTCTCCCACTCCCCCTGCTTATGTTCCCTCTCTCGCTGTCTCTCTCTGTCAAATAAATAAATAAAATCTTTAAAAACAAAACAAAAAAACAAAACTGACTCCATTGTCACACATATAACACTCACAGGGATATCTTCTGTCTTCTGTCCCTTGGTTTTGGGCGATGGCCCAGCAATTATGGAGGGTGGGCCCTGGGAGGCCCTGGTCACAGAAACAGCAGAGCTGGGCTCAGACAACTTCTTGTCTTTTCCTGAATTTGAATTTGGCTAGAGAGATAATGTGGGCAGGGAGAGAAGCAAGTTTAGTAACCCAAATCTTCTGTCTTTACTGAAGTGCTCTCCATATTTTGGTTGGATACATTTTTTTTTTTTTGCTTTTTATAATTCTTATATTTTATAAATAAAGTGGACCATATTATTGTATTATTGTATCCGGATGAAACACTGACCTTTTTCTTTTTCTGTTCATCTAGAATGTGTTCTGTCACTCTTTGGACAATTTCATCAATACTCAATCCTGAGAGCGAGTTCTTATTCTTGTTTCGCACTTTTTTAATAAAACCAGCAAGCTCGGTGCTAAAAAGAGGAAGTGGAGATAAATGACAAGAGAAAGTCAAAGTTTTCTACTGTGGAGAAATATTATGTGCTAATATTAACCCAACAGCTACAAGAAACAAACCCAATACATACAAACAAAACTAAACAATAGCAACTGTAGATAAAGGCAAGAGAATCACTCTTTCCAAGTAGTTATGAAAATTCCAATACTATTTCTAAATATTTATTTTACTAGAATTTCAAAGTAACAGAACAGTTTACCTGCTAGATCCATTTGGGATATCCGTATCTACTTTGAAACCAGATTTCGTATAGGCTGGATGTACTGCAGCTTTATGCTAAATCACTGATTGATCAGATAACATTGGTTCTGACTTGAAATCAGTAAAACCTCTTTTTACCTAAGGGGAAACTAGATTTGTTGACTGCCTCCCTTAAAAAAACCCTGACAACAAGGTTTTCAAAGCCTGAATGTTTCACAAGTACCAGTGGATGGAATTAAACCATTGATCAACAGGAACTTGATATATGAAGCACTAACACCTCAAATGTTTTCATTTTCAGAAAAGTAGGATGCATTTCTATTCAGTTGTTTAAACTCTCCCAAATTTAGTCAGGATTGCAAACCATTTTATTTGTAAGGTACTTTTGGTAATTATAATGAGCATTTTTACAATTGGCATGGGAACTGCTACTGAGGGAACTTACAAGTTTCTCAAACTTAGGCTAACTACGCCCACGGACATACACTTATTCTTAATGAAGCAGTCCTCCACAACAGATGCAAAACATTAATTCTGGCCAATCATAATTTAACCACTACTTTGTTTCAAAAGTGTAATTTCAAAACTTATAGTATCATATCAAAGACAGAAATAACATGGGACAGAGTACAGAGGGTCATTCTGGGATGTGGTTTCCTCTCTTCCTAGCTGTATCCCTGAGGAATGCCTTCACCGCTTCTCTCCTTGGCTGAGACAGGGAGCACCTCTGATCCCTCATACCAACCTGCAGATCGAGGTCAGAGGCTGCCATGCAAATGCTCGCCGGCTTAGATAAAGCAGCGCTCCCCACCCTCACAGGACCCTCTGTAACACACCCACAGTCCTGACTCACTATCAAATCACACCTGGTCATTCCAACTTCACACCTCTAACAAATCAGAGGTGCTATTTAGCAAGGTGTAAGTTCTTGCCACCTTTCTTGCTAGCTGGTATTTCTTCCCCCAAATGATACGAAACTAGTGTTTTGCAGTTTTGTTTTTCATTTAGGGATTGCATACTAGGACTGGAGCATGTTACTGATCTCATCAATATCTCAGCAAATTGCCCTGGGTTCTGATGAGTGTAGAGTAACCAGGAGTCAGTGTTTTCAATCTAGAAACACACATCAAAAAGTTGGTTTGAAAATGCTCACCTCTATGTTTACAAAAAAAGAAAAAAAGGTAGCACCTGTCTTTTCTGAGTAAAACAACTATGGAGTGGTTTCCACTTCAGCCCCTAACTGGCCATAATGTTATCTGATCAGGAAACCTCAGTTCAATAAAGTATTTAACAGAGTCACAGACATTTTATATCCCTACCTGTTGTAACATGGGAATACCACTGACAGGTGCTCGATAATACTATTAAACGGCTTTTTTGGAGACTGGCTTGAGCGGGTAGCACGTCCTGGAAGAATAGGTGGTTTCTGATCAGCCACAAGGCTTTGTTTTGGCGGAGTTTCCTGGCCCGTGATCTTACACTCTGGCAGCTGGGTGACTTCAGGCTGACAGGAGAGCGATCCTGTTAACGGTGGAGAGGAAGCCCCCACTGGGCCATCATTGGCAGAGACCAGACTTGAATTCTTAGCAACTGCTGTTTGGTTTCCAGTCCCATGACTTGTAGAAGTGGAGGTTCCATGATCTTCATGACCTGAAGACTCTGGAAGTACCATAGGAGGAATCTGGGAAGAATATACCATAGTCCTTGGATCACTAAGAGAAACATCTGTGGATAAAGACTGACGATTAAGCAGACTATAATAAAACCTGGGTGCTCAAGTGCACAGGAAACTTGAATACAATAAATTAAAGTTTTGTTTTTAAAAAACCGCTGATCACCTTCACTTTAAAATGAGCTCTACTGGGCTCCACACTGCTGGCCTCCCTCCCACCTCTCTGCAGCCCCTTCCCAGGCTCTCCCTGCAGTTCTTAATGCTTGTCTGTGCCTTAATGTGGACGCTCCTTAGGATGCTGTTGGGCGGGGGGGGTGGAGATTCACGTTCTTCCCCAGGACATTTCACATTCTTTCATGACTCAGTAACTGTGTGCTTGGTACTGATAATGCCCACTTTTTAAAAGATTCTAGTCTTCAATGTTCTCCTGAGATCCAAAACTGCAAATCCAAACTTCCTCTTAGGCAAATCCAAGGCCACTTAAACTCGTGTCTTCAAAATCAGGCTCGGCTCAGTCTCCGACCCTGCTCTTCCTTGGGACAGAAAACCAGATTTGTCTTGACTCCCCAAAATAAGCACACCGTGCCCCCCATCTCACAAGCAGTACAGTTATTTCCACTGTTCATCCTAAATACCTCTCAAATCTGCTCTCTCCCTCCAGCCCGACTCCCACTCTCTAATCCGGGACACAGCTGCTGACAGTGAGCCCCTCTCCCAGTTCTCCATACTGTGGGCCAGCTGATGGCATCTCCTTACTTGAAACCTATATTGGCTTCTTAGTGACCTCAGGAAAAGTCAAACTGCTGAACACACCTTACAGAATAAGTAAGGCTCCCTTGGTTCTGACCCCTGGGTATTTTTATGATTTTTCTCACCAAAGCCCCCCTCTATCTTACTGAACTTCTTTTATATCCATGAAAGAAGTATTCTCTGTTTTTCTAGCCTCCAAATATGCTGTTTCTTAAAGTTTTTTTGTTTTTTTTTTTTATTTATTCATGAGAGACAGAGAGAGAGAGGCAGAGGGAGAAGCAGGCTCCCAAGGAGCAGAGAGAGCCCGATGCGGGACTCGATCCCAGTACCCTGGGATCATGACCTGAGCCGAAGGCAGACGCTTAACCATCTGAGCCACCCAGGCGCCCCAAATATGCTGTTTCTTGCATTTGAAATACTCTGACCCTCCAAATATCACACTGTCCACCCCTTCCTTCTCAAACACACACCCATGTCTTCCTTTTGCCTGGTAATTCCTATTCCAGATCTCTGACTCACTGAGACCTCCAACAGGGAATCTTCTGCTGAGGCCTAGACCTCTAGGTTAGGTTAACCCCTCCTAATATATGCTGCTATAGCATTTTATGCTCCTATGAAAAACCTTGGCACACTTTACTTATAATTATGGGCTTAATAACTCTCTTTTCCCAAACCCATACGCCCTTTGAGGGAATAGACCATATCTAATCTTGATCACCACTAAATACCCAATGAATGAATGGGGGAGAAATAACACACAAAGCTAATGGCCTTTAGGGATACTTATTACTTAAGTTCCTGGAACCCTAAGAGTTCCCAAGGCTTAGATATTAAAATTCTTTTGTGTATTTATAAAATTACATAAGCTACAACTAAAAATTAATAGCAAATATTCTACTGAGATCTCACATTTTTTTTCCCTTCCATGTCTACCATAAGAACTTAGAAACACACTCTCTCTCCAAAAGAAAAAAAAAGAGGGGGTGCCTGGGTGGCGCAGTCAGTTGAGCATCTGACTCTTGGTTTCAGCTCAGGTTGTGATCTCAGGGTTGTGAGAAAGAGCCCTGCCTCAGGCTCTGCATTCAGCATGGAGTCTGCTTGTGACTCTCCCTCTGTCCCTCCCCACCACACTCTCTCTCAAATACATAAATCTTAAAAAAAAATAAAGAACTTAGAAACATTATAAATGATAAGTGATCTTTAATTCTACATCAAACTCTACTTCTTACTCAGTTCAATGGAGAGAAAAATGTGTTTCTATGGAGAGAAGAAAATGGATCCCAATAGAGTATTTTACTCAGTTCAAGGTGGCCAAACTTTTTAATTTTTTTTTTTAAAGATTTTATTTATTCATTTGAGACACAGATAGAGAGAGAGAGAGAGAGCATGAGCAGGGAGAGAGGCAGAGGGAGAAGGAGAAGCAGGCTCCCCACTGAGCCAGGAGCCCAATGTGGGGCTTGATCCCAGAACCCCGGGATCATAACCTGAACCGAAGGCAGATGCTTCACCATCCGAGCCACCCATGCGCCCCCTTTTTAATGTTTTAAAAACATTTTTTGGCAGGTGAAACCACAATAAGCTTGTATGCTTAGTATGCAAAGTACTGGCTAGAGAGAGACTTTCAAGATCAGGCTCCTGAGTGTAGTCACCTACGGTAAGGAGACTGAACGTACATGACAGAAGGGTTACAGGGTGGGGCACAAATGTGGGCAGCCTTGACTGGGCTTTTAGGGAGAGGCAGAAGGTGGAGAGTGAGGTTGGTGCTCCAGGCTGGGGAACATCCCAGATAAAGGTCTGGCAGTGGCAGGAAGGTGCAAATCAGGACCTAAGGAAAATAGGCTCCTTATAGCAGACTATTTCACAACCAGAAGTTTTTAATGTTGTGCCAAAATATTCTGAAACCTACCTCTAATCAACTCTTGAATAGAGCCCTTCTTTAAATTCTTACAGTCTGATCTCCTTTGGTCTGAATTCTTTTCAATTTGGTATCGGGTGAGCATCTGCTCTGTGTCCAAATAAGAAATATGTACCCCAGAATACAATAAAGTGATACTAGGTGGAGCCATATTTTAAAGTCCACAATATAGAACTAATCTTTTACTTTACTGTGCTGCATATTTTAAAACACAAAGCAATGTTTGGCAAACACTATTATTCAAAAGATTCAGCAAATACCTCCAACTAGCAATAAAATATGACAGATCAGACCAACAAAACCTTTGTATGTCTCAGATATAGCACTTTTTAGTCTGTATTTGATGAAAAAACAAATCTTAATTTTGGTCTTATGCCTGCAAGTATCTAGGAATAAGACTATATCTTAGGTGGTATTTGTAGAGAGAGCTGGTCTAAATCACAGGCAACTGATCCTCTTGGATTATTCGTTCACACGTAGAAAACACACACACCAGCATCCAGAAAAGAAAGCAATGTACCAGCCCTGTGTTTACTTCAGTCCCATCCTCAAGACACTGATGCAGAAAGACTCATCCAGTTATATAAGAATGTTTATTATTAAGCTTAAAGGGTTAACCAGTAGCACCAATAATGAAAACATTAAGGTAACTTATTAATCCATCTCATCCCCACTCCTAGAATACAAACAACAAAAATCTACTCTGGCCAAATAAGAAAGAAACTATGGTTTACTATTGTTTTCTTTTCTTCACACACACAAAAAGAAAAAAGAAAGAAAAAAAGAAGGTGTGACAGACTTACTGTGCTACAGATGGGAAATGAAAGCTCAGGAATCTGCACTTTAGGAAGTTCACTGAGCTGAGAGCCATTTTTAACTGCCTGTATTTGTTCTTCATACTGAGACTGTAGGTAGAAGGAAAAGTGTTAAGTTCTTCTAATAAATTCTCATAAAGAATCACAACTGTCAATTCTTACTATATGTTTACAAATGGTCGACAGTCTTTCAGGAATATAACAGAGATGCAAAGTATCAGAACAATTATTTCTTTAAAAAAGTTCAAAATAAGACCTCATTAATAGGAATGCTCTACAGCCTTATCAAATATAACTTCTCTAATTTTCTCAATTACAGGCGGAGTATAAGACAGCTAATTAAGAAAACAGCATTATTTTCAGGAAAAACTCTTAATAATTACAACAAAAAATATATATTGCCTTTAACAGCTCAACAAAAAGTTTCAGTGACATTCATCTCTCCTGAGAACTATAATCATATCGGTTTTGATAGAATTACAAAATATTTTATGACTTACCTTTGCTTTCACGATTTCTTTTCTAACCTTAGAAAGAAACGATTCCCATGAATGTACATCCGACTCCATATCAGGGTAAGTTGCAGAATCACTGAAAAAGAAAAACATGGAACTGCTTAATGTCTACTTCAGATATGTTTTTAAAAGTTAAAAACACTACAGTGCAAATAAAAACAAACATGAGAAAGATATATATATATATTAAAGATTTTATTTATTTGACAGGGACAGAGTGAGAGAGAAAGAGCACAAGCAGGGGGAGTGGCAGGCAGAGGGAGAGGGAGAAGTAGGCTCCCGGCTGAGCAAGGAGTCCAACATGGGGCTCAATCCCAGGACCCCGGGATCACGAAATGAGCTGAAGGCTGATGCTTAACTAATTTAGCCACCCAGGGGCCCCAGAAAGATATATTTAACATGATCACACACACAAAACTATTTTTTTAAAAGATTTATTTATTTCAGAGAGTGCGCAAGAGTGCTCACGTGTTGGGGGAGGGGCAGAGGGAGAGAATCTTCAAGCAGACTCCCCACTGAGCGTGGAGCCCGACAGGGGACTCAATCTCACAACCCTGAGATCATGACCTGAGCAGAAATCAAGAGTCGGATGCTTAACAGACTGAGCCACCCAGGCGCCCCACACACAAAACTATTTTTAAAGAATTATGTATCTTACAGACTCACCAATAGAAACACTTTAGGAAATCTTAATTATTGATTAACCAAACTTCCCAAGCTGGTGGGCAGAGAGTAAATATTCTCCTAAATTTTAATTTCTTGTCCTAACTTTGAAGATTTGACCATTTTTCATTTAACATCTTTGTGTTTAACAACAAAGGCTGTTTTTACATTAAAAAAAATAAAAAGACAACATGGAACACTTAAACGTTCCAATAAAAAACCTCATCCTCGCCTTATGGTAAAATAAAGAGTGGGGCCTAACAGACTGTGATAAGTTTATACCTCAGCACCTTTACTGAAAGTGACAAACAAGCTTTCCACTCCTAACTGGGAAGATCAATAACATTATCAATCCGTGACTGTGTCAGTTCTCATTACATATCTTAAAGAAAAACCAGAACATTCCTTTTATGTCTTTTCTCTTTCGCTATCCTTTGGTGGAATGAAATTAGCACAGAATCCCTAAGAAAGAAGCTATGTGTACTATGAGGCTTAATGAGGAAGTCGACACTATCAGACGAAAGGTCTGAGAGCTCTGTTTCCCAGAGATGCCATAACGTGTGGCCCACGGCAAGATGAAACACCAGCCTTTCGGCACCACTGCTTCCACTTCAGCTGTACCAGTCTTGTAATTCGAATCAGCATATTAGTTTTCTCTCATTAGAAAGGTTTTCTCATGTGAAAAAAAACTAAATCTTGAAAAACCAAGAAATAAAAACTCCCTTAAAACCTTTTCCATGACCCCACAGAGGGTCAATACTGAGGGTTTGAAGTGTTAAAGCAAAAAGCATTGGGAAGGATGAAAACTGACTGTGGAATATGATAAAAAGACCAGATGAAAAGTAATACCTTGTGTGAAAATCCACACAGAAAATGCTGAGGCTAGACTGAAGAAGACCCTCTAAAATTCCCAGGTAAACCTTATTCCAAAAACGACGTCAAACAAAAACAAGAAAGATGATGGAGAGTTAAAAAAATTACCATAGGTGAATATCTTTTGAAGTGACATTCCATTCTTAGTCTACCACTAAGACTGTTAAGTGACTGTTCTTATATAGAAGGTAATTTTTAAAAAAGCTTGAAAATGTGATCTTCATTCCAGAAATTTATTGCATGGAAATGAATAATAATATGCATAAAAATTTAGCTACAAGGAAACTCACTGAAGTGCAGCTTCATTTGTATGCTGGAACACTATTCAACTTTGCAAAATTAGGTTAGAGAGATGTAATTATTGATATGAAAGGAAGTTTCCTATGTATTACTTAGTGGAAAAAAAACCCATAAATTTTCTTTTTTTCAAACACTGATTTATTCCAAAATACTAACTAGTTACACATCAATTTAGAATTATGGATAATCTTTACCATTTTTGGTAAAGGGAGACTTTACAGTTTTGTTTGTACGTTTCGATTTTTCTACCATTGAACATGTATCAACTGTACAACTATTAAAAATAAAATGGTCTTGGGGAACCTGGCTAGCTCAGTCAGTTAAGCGTGCAACTCTTGATTTCGGCTCAGGTCTTGATCTCAGGGTCGTGAGTTCAAGCTCCTTGTTGGGCTCATGCTAGGCATGGAGCCTACTTTAAAAAAAAAAAAAAAAGGTCCTGTCTAATATAAACATTTTTTTCCTCAAATCAGCTCTAACTTGGATTTACTAAATGACATGCCAGAAAGAACATCTGTGATGCCACACAGTACCTGCTCAGGAGCTTCAGGTTTTTAAGATACCCTTCTGCCTGTGAGTCCATGATCTGTAATTTGTACACATCCATGTCCTTCCAGTTTTCAAGCACAGATACCTAACATTAGATTAGAGAACGTTTAAGTATTTTAAGATGATGAAACTGAAACTATTTTAGGTTGTTAAAACTTAAACATTTCGAACTACTTTCAAGTTTCTCCTTAAGTGACCAATGATGACAGAATCATTAGAACGTGATAACGCTGTAATTTCACACAAATGAACATGAATTAAATAAAACTTTTGGATTTGAAAATAGAATAACATAATGACAGTAAAATTATTTTACCTTAAATGATACGTTTCTCAGATATGGAACTTTCCACATGGCTTACCGCTTAAGCCACGTACAAGCACGGAGCCAGGTTACCCACATGTGTGCACCTGATGTGCATTATCTGTGGTCCTGTTCCTGGTGAGCAGAGGACCAGGGGCCTGCAGAATAACCCCAAGGCTGCACCCTCTCAAATTTAAAGGCCTCAGAGAAGTTGTTTTCAGTACGAACTTCAAAAGCCTCTAGGGCAGGTTCTTAAAACTTTAGACTCTTTAGCTTCCCAATAAGCCTACTGACCATTTTCATTAAGTCATTATGGAAATATAGGACTCCTTTGTTTTAATGCAGGTGTCAGTCCCAGACCCACCAGGCAGACGGGCTGGCCAAATGGTGGTAAATGGGACCTGAACAAGCTTATGAATATAGATGTGGGCACAGGACCCAAAAATATATGTACTTTGGCTTTTTTCCCCCCCTTCCTTTCCTTAGAAGCTGCTGCACAGTCAATATTTAATCAAAAGTCCGTCTGTGGACTACATAAGCTAACCCTTTTTTTTTAAATTTTCCAGAATAATCACAGATAATATATACCAACCAAGAACATTTCTTCTCAATTGGAAAAATAAAGATAACCATGTTTTGGGAACTAAATAAAATACAGCCAGAGGTTATGATTTTGAATTTTGTCTCAGTAGTGTCTCAAACAGTATACCGACATTGGTATATATTCTTCGGGGGGAAGAAGAGAGCATATTCTTTCTTCTTTTTGAGAGTGTATTAATAAATGGAATATTTTCAAGTTCTTCTAGTACTGGCAAGTATGTTTTATGGTTGGCTACTTCATGGCATATCACTTGATTACATATGATGAAGCCATTCTAAGTGCAGAGCATGGAAAATGACTGAATTAAAATAATAAGTGAAGCAGACTGCAAAATTTGGCGTACACTATGAGTACAGATACATAACATAACGTGAGCTTAAGGGCAAAAAAACATTAAAAAGTGATAGGCAAGGAAAAAGTAGCTATTTCCGGGAGCAGGATGATGGGTAAGAGGACGTCCCCCAGACTCCACACCTTTTGGCAATGCTGTTGTGCCTCATATGTAATTAACACAAAGCAAACGTATGTTGTTTTTTTTTTAAAGATTTATTTATTTATTTATTTGAGAGAGAGAATGAGAGAGAGCAGGAGAGGGGGGAGGGTCAGAGGGAGAAGCGGGCTCCCTGCTGATCCCAGGACTCCAGGATCATGACCTGAGCCGAAGGCAGTTGCTTAACCAACTGAGCCACCCAGGCACCCAAAGCAAACGTATGTTGCCGTATCTGTCAGGTGCCAAGTGTCTTAGGCTCACCTCTGCAGCCACAGCTCTTTGAAGACTCTCTTCATAATTCTCCTTCCCTTTCTTTATACATTCTTCTACTTTCATTTTCTCATTTGTAAATGTATTACTGCAAATATTGAGAAAAAAACTTCTTGGGAAAAAAAAAAAACCAGTGAGATAGACAAAGGCCTAGCTTTGAATCATGCCACAGAAAGACTTATATAAAACATCCTCTAAGGTACCTTCCTGCCTAGTATTTGACTATTTAATACACAGACTCATATGTCCTTTTTGCGCTTCACAAATGATCAAAGGAACATATAAAATAAAATTGAGTGTTTGGTGGAAATGCTGAGACTCTGGTTCATCATTTTTATGAGGGTAGGTGGAATACAATCTGGCTATATTGATAAACTTTATAGAACATCCCTCATCGTTTCAGTCAGAAATTCTATTTTGACACACATTACAAGGAAATAACCCAAAGGAAAACAGTGATCTGTACCAAGTTATTCATGGCAGTATGTTTATGAATCATGATGTGAATGGAAATGTGTACGTGAAACAATATTCAACGAGAAATGCAGAACACAACTGCTAAACTGCTGGATACATTGGCTACCGGTATGTAAACACATTATTTCCATTAATAAAGGTTAAAAGGAAACTTTTTATAAGTTCATAATAAAAATCTTCAATAAACTTATAATTATAGAGCCACAAACTATCATAGTAAAGTTGAAATTGTTATTTTAAGTAACACAAAAGTTTTAAAAACACACTTTTAGTTTCAGAATTCAAAAGAAAAGAGTAATCAACAATAATAAATTCAGGATTTTTATACTGACAATGTGAAACAAAGTAGTAGGAACATCATAAAATAAAAATACTCAAAGAATAAACTTATTTAAATATTTAAAGAATAAAATAAAAACATAAATAAAGAACAGACACATAATTATTTTAAAAAAACAGACAAGCCACAACAACAGACTTAGAAGCCTAGTGTGCTGGCGCCTCTGGTATTAAAGGAATAATAAGGCAGTAAAAACAAATGTAAGCTTAATTTGCCTGATTTCAAGGGACTGATCCAGAAGTAATTCATGTTCCTTATCTTTTTCATCATTTTTCTGGGCATATCTATGAAAGAAAATCACCAAATTTTAATCAGTTTTCAAATATTTTTAAAGACATGATCCCTCACAGTAAATTCTACCTATATCACGCAAACATTTTTTGAATTCTTTGTAAATTTCTACATTTTGATTTCATTTCTATATCTTCTAAATAGGCAAAGAATCTGGGTCGTTTTTCTTTCACGCCTGGAGGGCAGAAATCTTTCCTTCACCCTAGGTCATATGCTTGCAGTGCAGACCACCCTATCTCAGTTCACTGCAAGAAGTGCGCCCCCCTCCCCCTCCCGCCGTGGTTCAATGTGACGCAGAAGAGTGCAGGTGTTGTCGATCATCATCAGTATAACCAGCGGCTCTCATTCAAAATGAAAACAGCCTTCTAGTCTTTAAAACAGAACTTAAAGCCCAGTTAACACACACATCCAGTCTGATAACCCTGCAAAACAAAGTGTGTAAATCTTTGATTTTAAAGCAAAACCCTGCAAAAGATGGATTCTGCCTCTTCTTTCATTCTCTCCCATACAACTTTTTGTCATCTCTACTTGCTAAAAATTCCAACATTTCCATTAAGAACCTAAATGTTTAAATGCCATTTTCACTTCTTTTGTAAAATACGTCCTCCTCTAAGTACTCAATACTGGACAGCAATCATTTCTCATATCTTTTGTACTTCTCTAAGAGATCCAAAAGGCTTTAAGATTTTACTTTAAAATCTAAATATAAAAATTTAGATTTAAATCATTTATCTGGGAAGTGTAAAAAACAATACACATAGAGAAGTCTGTAGCTTATCTTTAAAATGGGACAGAAAAAAAGCAAAAAAAAAAAATTAATAAAGTGGAAAAAAATCAATAAAAACTTTATTCCTCAACAGAAAGTTAATTTTTATGCTAGTACAGAAAATTTTTTTATCATAATAGCCTCATTTATTTTATCTAGTTTTGACAGTAAACTTGAACTGAGCATACAAAAATATATATTAAATATAAATATTCCTGTATTTTTGAGTAACTTAACTACTGGTATGCTCAAATATTAAGAGGCATAGCAGTCCCCCTTTATCCAAGGAGTGACAGGTTCCAAGACCAACCCATGGCCTATACCAAACCGGTTTCTTCCTACACATACACACCTATGATAATGTTCAAGTTGTAAATCAGGCACAGTAAAAGATTAACAACAATAACTAATAATAAATTAGAACAGTGGTTATGTGAATGTGGTCTCACTCTCAAAATTCTTACAGAGCATGCACTGCACTCGCCCTTCTTGTGATGACGGGAGATGATGAAATGCCTACGTGGTGACACGAGGTGAGGTGGGTGACACAGTGTTAGGCTACTGCTGACCCCCTGACAACATGTCAGAAGGGGGATCATCTGAGCTTCTGGATTGTGGGTGACCACAGGTAACTGAAACCACAGGAAATGAAAACTACGGGGAGGTGGGGAGGATACTGTAAAGAGCTTCATCATTTCCATAAATGTGTTCTGACGGAACTACTCTACTTTGAGCATTCTCAAAACGACATGCCATAGGCAGTGTTGTATATGTCATCATTCTTTTAAGGACTACCTAAAAACTGCCCAAATGTAATGCTAGCAAGACTCATAATAACAGCCGTCTGATCATATGGCATGGCAAATGGAAAAAGCACAGATGTCCTGAACGGTGAGTGTGGTAGTGCGGCCCCGAGTGAACCATGCCTCCCATTCTTCTTGCCCTTAAATCTAAAGTAGACCTGCCACTTGCTTTAAACAACAGAATGTGGTGGAAGTGATGCTCTGACAGTTCTGGGCCCAGACCTTCAGAAGACATGGCAGCTTCCACTCCTGTACCCTTGAAGCCCTTTGGTACCACATAAGGAGTCTACCATGCTGGAGACCAAATGCCACATGGAGAGACCATCCAGATAAAAGTCACATGGAAAGGGAGCAACCCTGAAACTACAGGGAGAGAAAAGGCCAGGACATCCCAGGACATCCCAGCTGCACCTAGCCCCCAGCCAACTCCCAGCCACATGAGGAACCACTGGCAAGACCAGCCTAATAGCCCAGTGGAACTCAGCCCAAGTTCCAAGATCAGGATCAAATAAAATGGCTGTTAATTTAAGCCACCAAGTTTGGGTGTTTTGTTACACAGTGGTAGGTAACAATTAAGCTGAGGAATCATATGACATATCAATTTTTAGGGAAGAGAGGGGTTAGGAATGGATCACAGAGAATCTCAAAACAAACGTGGCCCATCTGACAACTGTATTACCTGTATGTATTTATTACCAAATGCTTCATACCACAAAACCAAATTTTAATAATTTAAAGATTCAAGATGAAAGTAATGATAAATAATCACCACAGAATCCTAGTGCAGGGAAGAAACTTAGATCTAGACCAAGCCCCTCACTTTACAGAAAAGGAAAAAATGGGTCAAAGGTAATGTTCACAGTAAGGGGTGGTGTCCAACTAGAAGGAAGTCAGTTCTTTGCTGATTCAGAGTCCCACTTTATCTGTCAACAGGGTAGGTTCAGGAAAAGTTTTAGGTAAGATAATTCTCTACTGAATGTTCTCTAAAATGAGATGAAAACAATATTTAAGTTTGTTCTTCACCTGACATAGTCGGAAACTGAGTATCAAAAATGTTAACACCACCCGCCCCCAAAAAGCAATAAAAATCATTGCCTTTCAGTTGTTACTTACGACTCGCTGGCATTTAAAACCTTTCTCATTTTCTTTGTTAGTGCTTTCAGACTTTCTTGGATTTCTTTTTTCTCGTGTTGCCATTTTTTTATTTCCTTTTCCAAATCTTCAAGGAACCAATCTAATTCTGTCTTTGAGATCTAAAAACATGTTTAGAAAGTTCTTAAATAAATAGGAAGATTTACTTAAAAAAAAAAAAAAAGAGTCCCAAAGACCAGAATGGTGGTGGTGTTAGCTTAATCAATGACTCCAGTTTAGCAGAACACACACAGCCCTGGGCCTCACCGACTCTCACTGATCAGGCTGGGCGGCAGGGGAGGCTGTCAAATAAAAAGGCACAGAGGCATGACAGACTCTCTGGTACTGGAAAAGGGTTTCTCAAAATCAGTGATTTCCGACTTCTGTCTTTAAAGATGAGATGCCAGGAGCATCTGGGTGGCTTAGTCGGTTAAGCATCTGACTCTTGGTTTCGGCTCAGGTCTGATCTCAGGGTCATGAGATCAAGCCCTGAGTCAGGCTCCGTGCTCAGCAGGGAATCTGCTTGAGATTCTCTCTCCTTGTCCCTCTGCTCCTACTTCCTGCTCTCTCTCTCTAAAATAAATAAATAAATCTTTAAAAAAAAAAAAAAGATGAGATGCCATGTGGAGAGCGGATTCCAAGAAGTGGGAATGGCAAGGGAGAAGGATAAAAGATAACGGCATGTCTGAACAAAAGCAAGAGGCACTATGTGGCTGGGATACAAGGTGGATATATGGAAGGCAGGGCAGGGAGAATGGTACCCCAAGATGCTTTGGGTTCAAATTACAAAAGGTCTTGTAAGCCATGCTAAGGAGGGTGGATTTGGTCCTGTAGGACACGGGGAGCCAGTGAAGACTCAAGCAGGGCAGTGAGATGATGAGATTCTGGTTTTGGAAAAATAGCTCTGAAAGACACAGAGATGGATTAGGATTGGGTGAAGGCATGTGAAAGCGTTAGACCAAAACTGGCCTTCACATTTTCTTGACTGTGACCCAAAATAACAAATACATTTTAATAACGATCCATAGCATGTGTACATAATATACATATGTATGTATGTACACACACACAACTGAAAGAGAATTGCCTTTACTTTTTGAGATGCTTTCTGATATTTCTACTCTATTCAATTATTAAAAACAATTCCAGTCACCGCCATTAAACTGATTTCATAGCTCAATATGAACTGTAACCCTTAATTAAAAACTCTAGGTAGAAGAAGGTAAAATCTTTTTAAAAAAAGATATTTATTTATTTATTTATTTGAAAGAGAGCATGAGTGTGGGGAGGAGAGGGAGAAAAAGAATCTTAAGCAGACTCAGTGCTGATCATGGAGACCAGACATGAGCTCGATCCCATGACCCCGAGATCATGACCTGAGTCGAAATCATTAGCTGGACACCTAACTGACTGAGCCACCCAGGTCCCCGAAGGTAAAATCTCTTAAAATCTCACTGCAGTAGCCCAAGGGAGAGACAATACGGACGACGGTGGTAACATTAGGGATGATAAAAAGAAATAAAGGAAACTTTAGAGAAGAGGATGGAGAAGAGACCATGTGTCTAAGTAGGATATAAAACAAAGCAGAAGTTTACAGAATTCAAGATAGGTTTCTACTTTCAATGAATAACTAAAAATCCCATTAACAAAAAAGGAGAGCACAGAAGATGTACTAGGCTAGGACATGAAAACAGATGTTAACCTAGCTTCGGATGTCTAAATAAATGAATAAACAATAAAATATGTGAGAACTCCATAATTTTGACCCTGCAGTCATTTTGATGGGACAGAGCAGAAATTTACAAGTGTTTGACAGAGACTAGATATCAAAGGAATAAAAATACTGAATTCAAACAGCTTTCAAAAAAACCGGAGGAACATGCTTTTTTTTTGTTTATAGTTTCACATTTATTGATTTACTATTATTAATTATGGTGATTATCATATTTAAACAGACATCTTTGCGTATTTGTCCAGTTTTCTCTAGTATAATTCCTAGATGATAGCTGGGTTAAATCTTTTTTTTTTTTTAATTTTATTATGTTATGTTAGTCACCATAGAATACATCATTAGTTTTTGATGTAGTGATCCACGATCCATTGTTTTCGTGTAACACCCAGTGCTCCATGCAGTACGTGCCCTCCTTAATACCCATCACTGGGCTAACCCATCCCCCCAACCACTCCCCTCTAAAACCCTCAGTTTGTTTCTCAGAGTCCATAGTCTCTCATGGTTCATCTCTCCCTCCGATTTCCCCCCTTCAATTTTCCCTTCCTTCTCCTAATGTCCTCCATGCTATTCCTTATGTTCCACAAATAACTGAAACCATATGATAATTGACTTTCTCTGCTTGACTTATTTGACTTAGCATAACCTCCTCCAGTCCCATCCATGTTGATGCAAAAGTTGGGTATTCATCCTTTCTGATGGCTGAGTAATATTCCGTTGTATATATGGACCACATCTTCTTTATCCATTCATCTGTTGAAGGGCATCTTGGCTCTTTCCACAGTTTGGCTACTGCGGACATTGCTGCTATGAACATTGGGGTGCATATGGCCCTTCTTTTCACTACATCTGTGTCTTTGGGGTAAATACCCAGTAGTGCAATTGCTGGGCATGCTTCTAAGTCATGTTTCTCTACACAACAGGCACCTGGATTCAACCACAGATTAGCACATGATCAAGTCAGGTGTGCTTTGCTCCTCAAAACAGACTTTCTCAATATGGGCAACTCCCACTCTTCCAAAAGTCCGCTGAACACCTGGTTGGTTGTAACTTAGAATGCATTTCCCCATGAAAAGCCGTGTTAGAAATGTCAGTTAAACGTCCACCAGTTCCTTCCAGGAAGCTCCTGGTTACAATGGTAAACCGGATACAAGGAGGGCTATAGAGTTAACAGGGCAAGTCCCCAGACCATCAAGAGTCTATCTGACTGTATAAGACACAGTCTTACCCTGGGTGCTGGGGAAAGAGATGTGGTGCAAGGGAAGGCAAAGAGGAAAGTTCAGAATTTCCTCTGAAACCTGCTTGAAAAGATTCATGTCTGTCTGCAGTAGCTTCCCTCTTCTTTTTGGCATTCATTTCATCCTCCAAGGACCCTTCTCCTGCAACACCCTCAAAGTTTCACCTGATCCCTCATTTAAGCACCCCTGACCCAGGGCATGCCCACCTTCCAAGCGCATACTTTAAACGTCTTTCCTCTCCTTCATATCTCTCAGCATTCAGAGCACCTGACTGCAGTAAGGGATTCTGAAGAACCCCCTCAGCTTGCCTAGAAGTGTTCACATTTCACTCTTCAGCCACAGTGATTCTCTCATCTAGAGGTAGTCTGCTCACATTTGGCAAGTCCAATAGTTTGTTCGCTTTTTAGAATATAAATGTGGTGTTTCTGGCCTGGTCCCAGGGGCCTTTGGGTCGAGATACCCACCAGAATTTCAGGCAGTGTGACAAACAGAATTGTGAAAACCTGTATTCTGAAGCAGGGGTAGTTACTCTTCCCCAGATGATTATGTAAAACACCACGTGAGACCCAGCCTTCCTTGTTAGCTTTCTTATGAAGGTGCTGCTTTCTGAAACTTCTTCTGAACCTATACATTCTCTCCAAGTTTTATGTCATTTTTCAAAGTGTCATCCATTCAGTGCCGGCAGAGGTATACGTGGGACACGTGCTTGTAAATACACGTCATTTGTAAGTAGGATGTCATTTCTAATAACATGCGAATCAGGGAATAGAGCAATATTTACAAGAAACAAGTTTAAATTTTAATATTTTCCAGTTTGAAATTCTAATAATACCAACAACTGCTGAGAATGTGACCAGGTTACTGAGGGTATAGGTTCAGATACAGAACTGGGGGCCTCCTCCCTTGAAGAGGACGGTGTACCTGAAGCCAACCTGCACAGACTCTGGGAAGTGATGGTCTTCCGGTCAAAGACAACACCGACTGAGAGGAAGGACATTTCTCCCTCTTGAGCTTTAGACGCCAAGGTTTGTGATGTTCCTGGGTGACAGATTTGCTAACAGTCCAGGTCCTTAAAGACTTCCAAGTCCTACCACAGGGGTAGGGTTGGTTTCATTGGCTTTGAGATGCATAGGCCAACTGTTTTTAGGCAGCAGAAGTTCAATGACGTTTCAATGACATTCCTTCTAGCATGGGGACAGTTTTACTCACATTTTCCTTGCTGCTACACCGTGAATCACTGAATCATTACTGTCACTGAGGTGACCACCATGTCTACTCTACTTGCAAAATCCTGTATTGCACCTGGTTCACTTCTACTACCATGACCAATGTCCATATGCAAACCCTGCTGCTGGTAACCAAGCGAACCTTGTCTCTCACCTATCCTGTGCTTCCATTCTGAGCCAATGATTTCGCCTCAGATTTAGCCCCTTGGCCAGGAGATGATGTGTAACCACAAGGTTATACTGGGGCATAAGAACCTACTTGGCAACAAGTACCAAAAGGAGTTCAGTATCAAAAGGCACAAAATATTACACACACACACACACACAGCTCAGCCACAGAAGATGCTACGTAAGTTCATCTGCTGTTTGAACTAACCACCCTTTAATGACACAGCTGCCTCACAATGCTAACTAGGTCAGCTGTCAGAGCCTGTCTCTGACTACATGAAAGAGAAGGATCTGAATCCTTTTCTTTGAAAACACTAGAATAAAAGAAAAAACAAACTATACACAACTGTATCTTCTATATGCACAGCTTACTGACATAAACAGTTTCTGATGGCTTTTTTTCTCAATTAGAAAACATCTGGTTTCCATACCTCTTTTTCTTAAACCTCAACTTTGTTCCAAAATAAACAACTGAGGTACCCTTGATTGTATATGTGTGTGTATTATATGCATCTATAATATACATATAGTTTAAAAAGACAAAAGAGGGGCACCTGGGTGGCTCAATTGGTTAAGCATCTGCCTTCGGCTCAGGTCATGATCCCAGGGTCCTGGGATGGAGCCCTGTGTCGGGCTCCCTGCTCAGCAGGCAGTCTGCTTCTCCCTCTACCCCTCCCCGCTGCTGGTGATCTCTCTCTCTCAAATAAATAAATAAAATCTTTAAAAAAAAAAAAAGAAAGATTGCGAAGTAGGTAAAGAAA